TGCTTAAAGGTCTCTCATAGGTAATTACGACAGAAAAATAAAACACAATCACCAGAGAAAGTAGAGTAGACCAGTTGGAATACATGAAAATTAGAATCTGCTACATATTAAATTATTTTAATTTTTGTTAGATATTAATTATTTGTTGTGGAAGAGTCTGAATAATTTTAAGAGGGGAACTGCTACAGGACTTTCAGATGCTTCATTTTCTTTCGTGGAAGCCCACAACTACATGGGAACACAGTGACTTTTGGAAAAATAACTTTTTCAGTCCCCAGATTATAATGAGGCCTAGGTAACAGCACAACAAGCCTCTCTGCAGGTTCCTTGTTTTTTTTTGTTTTTTTTTAATTAGGCTTCACAGTACTGTTAGATAGGAGCCATCTCTAAGAGTGCAAAGAGCAGTACGGTCTCCAGCACCCACTGAACACGTAATTTCTCACCCAAGACTACAATAAAGAAGCTGTTGTATTGGTTACACCACATAAATGAACTGAGATCACCAGCTCATTTCTTAAAGAACAGGGAAGAATTGCTTTAGTTTATAATAAGAAGGAAAGTAATGAATATAAAGTTTAGCCCAAGAACCCAAAGACAGAAGAGATTCTCCTTTCAGGAGTTCCTGTTATAACCCATTTAAAAGAAATCTCTTATCTGCCTTCTGGTGCACATGTCAATGCTACAGATTTCACATGTGACCCATCAGCATCTCAGGACAGCATCTGCCCTTTAATATTTAATTATTGACAAATACAATGTTTGTAAACTTTGATGATAATTGCTAGTTCACATATTACTCTGTTATTAGAAAATAATTTCAATCAGAATTCTTAATCCAGGACTGAGAGAACTGTTTTTTAAAAAAATGAAGAAAATCAAAGCTTAAACCAGTTTGCATAACTAGGTCTAGAATTTATTACTCCTGAGAGAACAAAGATACAAAATACATGTGAAAACTACACAAAGATTTCTACAAAGTAAAAAGTAGAAAGTGGGAAGAGGGAAAGCTACAGTTCAGTGGTTACACAGAAATGTATGGCATGCAATAAATATTGTAAATTCATGAAGTTTTTTTTAAGTGCAAATGGTTTTTTTTAACAGTTCTCACTGAAAAATATGCAAATTGATATCTATGTTGTACACTTGTCACATTATCAGAAAGACACCAACACAAATCTATGCATACACACATCAATATGCCTGAAGTACATTTTGTGGTTTTGTTATTCGTAGGCACTGGTTACAAGTCTGTTCAATACTCAGTTTCTGAAATTAAGTAGTAGCACTTATAGAACATTTCTCAAATAATACTAATAAAGGAATTTGTTTTTAAAATACCAAGAGGATGAAATAATTTGCATTGCCATTTATAAGCATTCAACAACCAAAGAAATATTTACAAATTATCAACCATACAGATAAAGAACAGTATCAAATACTCTGTGTAAAAAGATAAATAATTAAAATGCATATTCCCACATCACAAAGAAATGTGATCATACAAATTATGGCACCATATGTTTGTGAAACATCAAAAATAAATGTAGCACATAGATACCTCTTCTTATATTTTACATAAAATGTACAGTACAATGACTGTAAAATGTCAATCTCATAACACCCATTGTCTTCAAACTCTTGTTTCTGGTAATTGCAATTATTATTAGAGTCCGTGTTTATAAAGAAATTCCATTCTTCAGCCTTGAGCTAATATTGCTCTGTGATATTGCTAGACCATGAAACTTACATCCGAAAAAAAGTCACATATTTTCTTTAAAATTGTCTAATAGAAAGAGCTATTTTACATGTGAATATTCTGGGAGAAAGTGTGATAGATTAAATCTATTCCTCTGTGTAGCAACGTATGGGTTAAAAAACAGTAACATTTTTATTTTTAGCCACAAATATCTAATTTATTAGAGAAATATTTTTTAAATTAAGGTTTATTCATTTCAAATTTTAATCATAAACAGTACTGCAATTTTCAACACATAATTAGGGTTCCTGCTAAAGCACTTAAACTTCCAAACCCTAATCATTTATCTTATTATGACAAGTGGATCAGAAAATCTGGAACACAACAGTGTTATGCAGCTCAAAATGCTGATATCCTGTTTTGTACTCCTAGGGTAAAGAATGAGATAATTATAGCATATGGATGTATTTTAAAGGTTTGTCTGCATGTGTCCATTTTTGGCCACAAGCCAAATCCAAACAAAACTACATTGTTAAAGGCAACCAGAAATATTACAGTTAGCATAGACTAAGGCAAAGAAAAACTTTTTTTTGTGTGTGTAAAAAAATTAAGGTGCAGAGAGAATTTTCTTTCTTGTTTTAATGGGTGCCAAATACGGATTAACAGTGCCAAGGAAAAGTAGTTTGACATTAAAGGAAAGACTATTAAAATCTAGAAATACCTGAATTGGATCTTTGATATCCAGATTTTTCCTGATTACCTGCACAAGGAGTTGGGGGTGGATAGTTGGCTTCTGTGAGTTTACTGCTGTCTGACGGTGGTGTTGGTGGTGGCGGTGGTAGCAAAGTGCTGTTAGGGCTACTAATATCTCCTTCAGCCACAAGAGTCAAATCTGCCACATTCTCATCATCTACCATCTGTATGCCTTCAGCTTGTAATTCTCTTGACTGCCTTTTCCATACTGTTGCATTGTTTTCCTGTGCATGCGGAATTGGAGACAATGCAGTATTAAAAGGAACACTGAAAGTCTTCTGACTGTGGAGCGCTGCCAAAGCAGATTTATGTTTATTTTCTGAGCAACCCATTTTCTTAACTGAATTTTCATTAAAGTTTTGTATGGACTCCTGTTTTCCACTTGGTGAGGTACATCCATCCTTGCCATCATTTTTTGAAACTCGCTTGTTGAGGACTTTAGGGCCTGTGGGAGTAGATGAGGATGGTTCTGGTCCAGTGGGTGGTAAACGAAGAAAATCAGGAAGAATAAGGTCTTCTTTCCTTAGCAGTCCACGTTGGTCATCTGCTCTGTTACTCTGAGCTTTGGATATGAGTTCAAAAAACTCTATTGGGGAAAAACCCAAAATTGACAAATTTTTGTCAGAAAGTGCAATGCCATTAAAACGTACATTTTCAGCACATTTATTTTCCACGAAGATCTTCAATTCTTTCAATGCTGCCTTGAAATAAGATCCCATGTTAATTAGGAACTTTTTCAATTGCAGCAATGTTCACTACCATCACTATAATTAAGACCATCAGGATTGCTATTGTAAGAGTTTTGCAGTTTAGAACAGCTGCAATTCACTGAGCCTTGAACACATCTTCTATTTTATGCAGTTAATAAATCTGTACACACACAGAGGATTTTTTAATTCTTTACACAAAACAAGGCTCTGGTCTTACTGACAATGGGTGCACATTTTTATATTCTGGATAGCTTTTACCCTCTTAACTCAAAAAGAGCCATGCCATTTGAAAGTTCAAAGATTCAAAATGTTGCAAACTTCCTTGTTATACTTAATTTTCTCAGTTTCATAACATTTCATCACAGTTTAAATGCAATTCATGGTGTAGTTTTGATCCAGGATGTTATCATCACAGGGCATGATCAGATGATGAGTTAAGTAACCCCACTTTTACTTCGCGTGGCAATGAATCAGCAGGTAGTCAATAACCATCAAAGGAGCCATTACTAAAAGCAATGGGGCAGCTTTTTTTATAGAGTTTTTAACACAATTAGAAGCGATTTTCTGATCATGTCCTTAATGATGTCCAATGGTTTAATATGTTTCTATATATAAATAATACTCATAGTAAATCACCACTGTTCTAGAAAGTCTCAAAACTTGGCAACAAGAAACTTATCAATCATAAGCCAAGAATTATACCACTCCTCAAAAAAGAAGCATCACAACAATAAACAAACTCTTTGGTACAAAACATATAAATATAAAAATATGTAACTCGATACAGCATCTCTGCATGTCCTAATTTTTCAAGAATAAAGCTTTAAAACTACAGAATATTAAAGATGCTTAAAAAGGCCATCTCCAACAGGTGAATTAAAACCAACAGTTTCAACCCAGCTTATAAATACTGTTTGAAGCAAAAGCCATTACAAAATAAACAACAAAATGTTACGATAAGTTTTGACTTAACATAATATGAAGTCATACACTTGCACTTGTATGACCTTATTCCTAACCCTTTATTCACATTCGGCAGGCTTTGCAATGTATTTGTAGAAATTAAGTTTTAACATGCTTTGTGAAATGCCATAAAATCTGAATGTAGCCAAGATGGAAGCTTCAAAATGCTTCTTATTGCCAAAGTTTTGCAAAATGGCGGTATGCATATTAAAACATGCAACATTTCGGATATCTGTCATACAAAAATGTTTCTTTCTGAAATTTCAAACTTCATAGAACAGTTTTTTGGTTTTTTGTTTTCATTAAAAAACAGTCTACAACATTTGGTACGTATTTTCCAAAGTTGGACAAATTTCACAAAATTCAAAATAAAATGTGAAAGCCTCGAATTCTGAAGTTTTCAAATTATGTTAATGTTTTACTCAGCCCTAGGAAGAAAAATGAAAATATTAAAATATGGAAAACAAGTTAACAAAATAATAAGCAACACAAAATAATTTAAAATGCACTAATATTTTGTAATAACACTTATATTAACAAACACCCATTTTGAAACAAAAGTGTTAGTCATAGCATTTTTTTCCATTCCAGCCAGTGGACATTTATTCACAGACAAACATTCATTTGCTGTATTACTGTGCATAACCAGGTTTTGGATATGCACATTAGGTAACATCAGCAGTAAATTTTAATCTGTGGGTAAAATAGGTCCTCTGATTTTCTTTTTTTTTTTACTTGGGAAACTAGGGAGGAACGTGTAGGGCTGACAAGACTGGTAAGTGCTTCAGTTGATGCTCTAGGGCAGAGGGTGGTTTGCCAAGGTTTCTACTGCTACATCGTTTTTATTCCTCTTTCTCCCATGGACATCTTTCTTAAGATAAGCAAGCAGATTCTCTTACAAGTTCTTTTCCAATAATATCACTAAAACTATTAAGATTCAATTGAAGGTAAAAATAGGACTCAGAATATACAGGATTACCATTAAACTCTTCATTTATTTCTACTTCTAACCACCTTTTCAGAGCAGCTACTGAATGTAAAATAAGCTTTTACTCTTGCCCGTCACAGCTCCTCCAGAATCATCATATTGTAGTGCCCTAACTGTTATAGACTTCAGCATAAAACTCTCAAAAATTCTTACCTGAGTAAATTAGGGCCTGCACCATGGCGCAGAATGCCTTTCAGTGGGTTAAAGACTCTTATGTAGAGGTGAACAGAAAGACAAGCTTCTACATGGCTTGCAAAGGGTATCGAATGGGAAATTCAACTGCAATTGAATAACTAATTCCTTTTTATTTTACCTGGAATTAGGTAGCTTTCACTTTCAAAAATCCCACTGGACAACTACATCTATCTTTAGGTATTCTTACAATTCTACCTTCAGCTTCAAAAACTTTATGATTCAAACACAGTATCAAACAAAAATATAAGGATCATGACTATGATTTTTGCAATGCAGTGTTAAGGTCATGGTATCTTTTCCTACACAGAGACAAGCTTCTAATTTTTCTAAGACTACTTATGTTAATACATAAAGTTCACATACCCTCTGCTTCATCCAAATTTATTTTCTGACATTTTTTTTTCCCAATCTTTGCAATAGCGTCTTCTCTCTTTGACAGCCGGACTTCCCTAGCATTTTTTCCATTTTCGCCTTTCATTTTGATAGAATTAGACTTTCCTAGAGTTCTTCCCTCTCCCTGCATTAGAAGGAAAGTTAAGGTACTACTTACATTTAGTCTATATCATTGTGTACATAATATGGCCTAAGTGAATAAAAAAGTTATTTTGAAAACATATTTCTCTAACACCACCACAACAAATGTTTGATTTTGATTACTGCAAGGAACATTTGCCATAGTACTTCCCAAAAATGTATAAATATAATATTGTTTACTCTGAAAACTTCACATTACAGAAAGGGCCTTTGAATTTCAGAGTAATTCAGTCATTTTCAAATATAGATAAGCCAAAGAGACACGAAACAACAAATACAACACAGTGAAAAAGCTATTTGATTAATCATGAAGACAAAGTTCTCACAAATAAATGCTGTTGACAGTGGAAAAATATCGGATGAATTATAGCTATACTCAAACCAGTTACATAATTTGGTTGCTTCAAAATCACAGATGAATGCAGCTTTTAATACAGAATTCCAGAAGGAAACAAAAGATTATCTAACGGACAAAAATCATTGCAGAAGACTTACAGTAGATACTTGATTTCTTGAAGTAGTTACAGTTGCACTCTGTTTTACTGATGCACCTTTTTGTTTATCTGTAAACACTAAACATAAACATACCTTCTATAACTACAAATTTATAATTGCCCGAAGAAGTAATATTTAAGTGATAATTATGCACAAAACAGATTTTTCGCTTTAAAATTTCACAAAGATGTACTCAGAAAATAAAGGGTGAGCACAGTTGATATCCCTGATACTTTTCAGACAAAACCTACCAGAATCTCCCCCTCATCTTCACGTTTTCCTAATACTGGCAATACTTTTAAAGTTTAAAGATGATGAAGTTTCATTTAAGTTCTCCTAAATTTTAATGTGATTTAGATCAAAGAGATTTTAAATTCTTAGCTAATAATTCTCTTCGTAATTCTCAAATTTAGAATTTAAACAAAAAAAAAAAAACTCAGCAGAAAAGATCATTGAAAGGTCATGCTGAATCTTTTCCAACCTGTTTTGTGCATCGTTCTGTAGACATTGCCATATTCTTCTTGTCTACTTCTAAGTAATTAAATGGTTCCTTCAAATTACATCTGCCTACAACAAATATACTAACTGAAGACTGAGCTGAAAACACAGAACTATGGCCCTTTTTCACTGGAATATTGCCACAGAACCAGCCTATTGCTAGAATGATGCTCTGTGATTCAGGCTTTTATAGCAGCTGGCAGCACAGAGGATTATAGTTTTATTGTAATCCTTAAACTAATTATCTGTGAGAATATTTAGATTTATATCTTCTGTCAAAATGACAATTGGTTGCTTCCTAGAAAAATTACAAATCTCATTCACCTCAATAAACACCTCCATCTTTTTTCTCCTAGTTCTTCCTCAAAGAGGATCTCTGCTCTAAGTCAACTGTATCTATAAAAAGGTCTCGCAGTGAAACTGAGCCTTTACTCTCAAGGCTGCTTACCTTAGTCTAGCATGTTAATTGTGACAAAAGACTGTCAGCTGTTCAGTTGATCAATTTCTATTTTTTGACTTACTTCAGCCAAGGAAAACAGAAATTATATCCTTTTTAGTATTGTCTCCAGAAATCATCACTTAAGGCTCTGCTACATTCTCATGTTAAAGAAGGGGGTTATCATAGCAGTATGCATAGCTGTTGCACAAACTGCATCTGTTTTACTTATACAGAATGTCTCTTTTGAATAAATTGTCAAATTCACAGAAGTTATTTGGCATTTTATTCTCACTATTATTACCGGGCACTATGCCCCTAAATGTGTGTGTGGATCTACAGCAGAGTGCTAGTAAGATATTCAAGTATTACTAATGCAAAATTTCTTAAAGTGACAGTAGAGTACTTGGTACCGACAGATTAATTTAATCTTCCGTCTTTAGAAACTGCACTCCTTTTCACTTAAAAAGAATATATGTTATATGTGACATATGCAAATCTCATCACATTTACCGCACCTCTGCATCAACAGAAGAAACTAACCAAAGTCAGGGCTTATGAAACTGACTTGAGATCATAAATAAAAGCTTTTAAGCCGACTTACCTCTACCCTTCGTTGGCTCTTTTTCATCTAGAACAACCCGCTGACCATCCAGATTAGATATCGGGACACCAAGATCAAGTGGTTCCTGCTCACCATTCTAAAGTCGGATCACAGTTTGTATATAATAGAGAAAAATCTGTTTTCAGAACAAATTTATGTAGTCTGACATTTTTTGAAAGAAAATTAGCTTTTTTACATTTCAGTGTAGCCTCAATATATTTTCCTTCTAGCATTCTAAAAATCTTTATTCCATTTGTGTAAAACTACCTTGATTACAATGTGTGTAACCCATTTATGCGAGGAGAATGGTATTTAGGGAAAAGAAGATACAAGGAGAAAAAAATAATCCAATTTGCAAGCATGCATAAAGGACCATAAGTGTGTATGTTCAGCAAATCATATTTTTCAGAGGAAGTCCGAGATTAACGTTTTAAACTGCTTGCATTTTGTTAATTTTGTAATTTTATTAAATGAAGTTATCTTTATACCAATATGTTTTTCAGTTATTTGAAAAACATGGACTGGTTCAGTCAAGACAGTGTACAGTCTAGAAATACCACAAAAGTAATTTTCCATCCCCTGATATTCCATCATAACAGAATAGAGAAAATGCTAGCCAAGGGTTTAGTAGTAGAGAAGTTGAATCAGTCTGCTTCTGAGGCAATTTTCTGCAAGGGGATTTGAGGCAACTTTCATGATTCCCAGGATAATGGAACAATAGCTTTAACCAATCTCAATCAACATTCCCTGGCTAATAATGGGAAAAGTTGAGCTCTGAAAGAAGATAAATTCGGGCTCTATTTTTTAGGATGCTGGATTTACTCTGGAGAATATAAAATTGATGCAGACTAAAGCTTTAAGGTAGTTACTATTAAGCATAACGGTTATGACTACTATGCATTTGCATCTCAACATCTAGTTATAAATACAGATCTTAATGCCTAATTATAAGGATAGGAATAATTTCAGGTACTATCATATCATCTTTTCCAGACAAAAAATACTGCAGCTTGAATTACATCAAAAGATACTTACTAGTCTCGCCACAAGTTCATTAAGATTTAAACCATATTTTGCAACCACAGGCCTTAAGACCTCTGTTACTGGTTTGGTGGGTTTAGCCTTCAAACCAACCGATCGATTGATTGGAACAAGATCCAGCCTGAAACATATGAATTGTAACATTAAGTATGAAATACTCCAACAAACAAAATGTACAAAATATATAAAATGCAATCTACAGCAAAATTATACTAGTTTACAGCTAGTGACCCTGAAACTTCACTAGCACAAATCTATCCTAACCTGAAGGTATACAAGGTTTTTAATACAAATAAAACTTCCACTGTTTCACTCACCAGAGCTGAGTGAAAAAAAGGATGAAGACAGCCCTCTTTAGAGTCTATTATGCAAATTCATATAATTTCATCAAAATATCAAAAAAAGAAAAAAAAAATTAAACCCAAACTATTATTCCGTTTATGTCTGTTTCCCTGAAAAAAACTGTGCCTAGGTTGTCCTTTTTTTTTCTTCATCTGTTCACTGATTCATCCATAAAACCGCCATGTTTCACTCTAATGGCACTACAGTATGAAAATAAGGGCAGGCTTATTACTAACAAAACTATCAGAAATGTACACCATCATCAGAAATTAAAATTATTAGTGATTTTGTCAGTTATGGTTAAATGTAAACCCCATCTTTTCTCTCACACAAATTACTTTAATGCAAGATGTTTAGTCTTATTGACTTTTCCTTTCCACAAGAAACTTGAATAACTGAAACTTTGTCTTTCATATTTTCTTTGAATACAACAGCTACTGAATAGAAATGACAATTTTTAATCATTAACTGGTAATTGACACAGAATTGGCAGACATTCAGGTAACTGAGTATATCCAGATAGTATTTCTCTTCTGTCTGAAAATATGCCAAATATTTGAGTATTTTTGCTTTCACAGTGTCTACCCACAGAAGAAAATACTGTAGAACACTTCTACACTTTAATTAACACACAAGTAACATATGGTACTGCCTACTTAAAGTTCCTTTTTAATTTGGAAACTCAACAAACTCACACCTTACAAAAGACTGCTCAGTCTCAATTTTGAAATTGAATATGCTATACTGTATTCATTAATCTGAAGTACCCTTAAATAGAAACTAGCCCTACTTCTTAAAGAAAAGTAATATAAAGCCAAAATGAAGAACGCCTACCAAAACAAATTTTATTTACTTCAAAAGCACAACTCAATAATGTAACACAAACATTCTACTTCATGACTTTTTCCTGAAACCATTATTTCAGGAGTTTTCATAGCACTAGTTTGGATTTTTAGAATTTAGGAACATTAAAATATTTTCTGGCATTTTGGAAAAAAAATAGAAACATTATTTTGAAAAAAAATGTATACTACAAAATAACATTGCATAAGACTAAACACGTACTGAATTATATTATACACCTGTAATAATATTATAACATTGACTTACGATTTAGAGTTACAAATCTATACTCTTGGAGGCCCACATTTCTCCTACTGATCCTTACCCCGGTTGCCCTCATCTGAATTACCCTTCAGAGGCACGCCAGTCTCACCACTACCTGTAGAGGCAGACTTAGCAGCTGGTTCTAAATCTAAGGGATATCAGTGCCTAAATGCAGGCAAGATATCTAACTTAGGCACTTGTGTAACTCAGAGAATCCCCAAACTAAATGTTTATCTCTTGCCCAAGTGTTATTGCAATCTAAAGTAAAACTGGACTTTCATAGTGACTCAAACTACGAGTTAACTGCAAGATGTGGAAGTCACTCTTTCAGCTAAAAACGTTAGATCACCCTCCTCCTTCACATGAGACTCTTTGCTTGATACTGAAGCCTCTTTCTTCTAATGTGCCTGTACAATGAATGGGAACCTTTGGTCCCCTAAATGCCAGATTCTGGATTACAGTCTAAGATGTTGCATTGCATGGGTAACTGGATTTTTTACTGGATTCAGACAAATTCTTTCCTGCATTAACTACTGTTTTGCTGCTCAGGTAACTGACAATATTCTTTAGTGTGCTTACAAAAAGTAAAATGGAAAATGAGGTGGAAAATGCCAGAGGAAGATAGTATTTTTGACTCTTACCGAAATAAAGTGCGTTTTTCTAAACGTAGGTCCCGAGACTCCAGGATGCTACTGTCTTGGTGTAATACAAGTGGCTACAGAGGACACATCATGAGCAAAAGAAGAGAGTGCAAATTAATTTTAAAATATGTAAAAAAGAAGAGCTGAGTGGCTAAAAAAAAATTCAGATAACTCAGAAAATTATTAATATAGGTTTATGCATTCTAGTGGATATTAATTTACAATATGCAACATGATCAAAGTGATTTTCATTTTGGCTAGCTGTGAGACAATGACCAAGCTTCAACTTTCAGTGGAGTCAGCAGGTATTCTGGAACTCAGCGTTTTAAAACAAGCTTTGCTCCTTCAACTTAAATAAATTATTACATAGAATGATGCATTAGAAAATACGGCAAGTTAACAGTCATTAAAAGATTTAAAAGAACAGGCACATAACTATGCACATTCATTGATTTTAGTCATTGTAATCATGTAGATTGATCATAACCACAAATTTAAGACAACAAATATTTCATATCCACAGCTTCTCTTTGAACTGGAGATACTTCTGTTGGAATAACAGCCATCAACCCCCACCAACATAGACTGCTGTCTTGGAAATTTTCCTCAATATTAAAACATGTACCTTAACTCTAGCATGAATTAATCTCATTTCACCTTTGAACAACTGAATGTCATTATGTTTCTTTGCTTTAATGAAGTACCATCTACTACAACATATTTCTTTTCTTTGTGGATACTTTCAACTAAGTACAAGCTAACCATTCCCCTGGACAAACTACATGGACTAGATACCTAAATTAACTTACTATTACAAGGAAATCCTTGTCTTCTGCTTTCTGTAATGTAAGTTCCACAACCAATCACAGTACTCTACCAGTTCAAATTTTACTAAAATTCTCCTTCAGTTAACTAGCACTGCCAATGTAAAGCTACAGGTAGAACCAGGACATACATATTACTATTGAGAGAACAGAATTCCTTATTAGTAAAACGAGTATGAAACGCTTTTTTAAAAAAGCACAGGAATATGCAATACCTTATCACCTCCAACTAAGAAAAGGTCCACTGCAGCTATGTTAATGCCATGTTTCTCGCAGAGCCCAGACAGCACTTCTTTGATAGAGAATCCGGATTTAACAGCCATTTTGCTCGATGAACCATCTGGAAGGTTTATACAGCAGTATTTGGGCGATTTCTCTTTATCTGGTACAAATGCAGGTAATCTCGAGGCTTCCGACTTGACAGGAGAAAGAAAGGTCAGTGCCCAATGGGAAAATTAGGAATATGCATAAACTTTAGAGTCTGTGCAAATAAAACAAAGCCAAGAAGCATACTTTCTAACATGTTTACCATTTAGAAATCCTTCCAAGTATCACAAATATCAGATAAATTTAAATTCTGAAAAAAAGATTTAGATAAAGATAACAGCACTGCACAAATCTAGATGTATTTCAAGAACAGATGAAGTTTTAGACAGTGTGTGAAACAGGTTACAAGATTCTCAAACTATAGAACAGAACTCCTGATGAAAAAGTGTAAGAAGTAAATAAAATCTTATTTAGCTTCCAAATAGTTAAGTGTCTATACTCAATAGTGACCAGCTGATGTAAAAACTACCATTGGCACATTATGAATCAACATTTAAGTGATGAGGAACACCTTTAAACATCAGGTTCCTCCAATAAAATTTCCTCTTCTGCCTCCTTCCTTCTTCCTCTTAGCATAGGCAAAATGACATAGTTGCTAGAATCTAGTCTACTAGAGGGACATCAAGACTACAAAAAAACTTTTAAAATTTTCATTTTTTATATTTTGCCTCCATATCAATGTAGTTAAAATAAATTTAAAGTATTATATTGACTTTCTAGTATTAATACTGTTTTAATTTTGCATTACATTAGTTTTAGACTGTGAAGGCAGAACTTGATGGTTAGAAATCAGTGTCTTCACTGATTATAGAATCACTAAATCATAGAATTGTTTAGGCTGGAAAAGACTCTTAGGATCATCAAATCCAACTGTTAACCTAACACTGCCACCACTAAACCATGTCCCCAGGCTCCATGTCTACACATCTTTTAAATGCCTCCAGGGATGGCGACTCCACCACTTCCCTGGGCAGCCTGTTCCAATGCTTGATAAACCTTTTGGTGAAGAAATTTTTCCTAATATCTGATCTCAACCTCCACTGGTGCAACCTGAGGCCTTTCCTCTTGTCCTATCAATTGATACTTTGGAGAAGAGACCAACACCATCTTGCTACAACCTCCTTTCAGGTAGCTGTAGAGAGCGATAAGGTCTCTCCTCAGCCTCCTTTTCTCCAGGCTAAACAACCCCAGGTCCCTCAGCTGCTCATAGGACTTGTTCTCTAGACCCTTTATCAGCTTCATTGCTCTTCTCTGGACAGGCTCCAGCACCTCAATGTCTTTCTTGTAGTGAGGGGCCTAAAACTGAACACATTATTAGAGGTGCACAGTGTTTTCCTACATACTATGTCAAAATAACAGTGTTTGCCATGAAATTTCCTACCTCTCTTTTCTCAGGTTTTATGAGCAGAGTTAAGCCGTAGTGACAAGAAGCACAACTTTAAAGGAAACAGAGAGGAAAGAAGCACAAGAGACACTGGTACCACAGAAATTCCACACAGGTCAAGCAGAGGGAAAGATTTAACACATTGTTATTCAGAACAGAATCGCAAAGCTCTGTAAGTGAAAACAGCTGTTTATAAAGAGCTACAGTAGCTGCCTTTGAAAGGCAAACTTTTATTTTTCTAGTGAATATTGGTGCCTGAAGTTAAGACAGACAAGATGCAAAGGATGCCTTTCTGTCACAAGGACAAAATAAGAAGCAATATATGAACAACATATTTCCAGTATTCTAAAATTGCTTAATACTACATCTTGTACTCTAGTTGTATCACTTAAAGACCCTTTCTCAAAGTATTAGCTTGAATAAATTACTTCGCACTACTTAGTAAATTGAAAATTCACTATTTTCACTGCCTCCCCACTTCATTATTAAGAGTCAGCCATTACCAAGTCAAGACTAGCAGTTGATGACATGGAGCCTTGCGATTCCCGTCTGTATGATAATCCATTGGACTGAATAGAATCTGTTTGTGGAAAAAATCAGCAATCACTAAAAATGCTTATTTTTATTATTTATTATAATACAGAAAGCTATTTCATAGTAGCTCCTCTGGTCAGCAAAATAATTATTTTCATTAAAGGAAAAACACCAAATCTTCATACTGTGCGCTGAAGCACAGAAAACTGAAACAATATTTGGTCTAGTATTTCTTGGTTATGTAACCCTAGAATAACCCCACTTGCTTTTATATTTAAAAAAAAAAAAAAACAACAAAAAACAAAAAACTAAAATCCTGTATGGTGTTAGAAAACTAAAATCTAAGACAATCACTAGTCACTTTCAGAAGTTTAAGTCTACAATCTTTGCAAATGCCTCTAATGCCTTTTCACATATGAGTACAACGAGAACACTTAAACTACCCAAATGATCAGAGATATCTTGCAGGTCTGAGCCTTTATTAGAAAACAGAGAAGAAGAAACCACAGTAACAATATGGTCCAAATTTGGTGCTTCAATTGAATTTCTCTATTATTTTTATTTCGAGTTAATGCAAAACTTTCATCTCTTCGTCTAGAGTCCATGTACGGGTGTTTTCATAGAGGAACTCTTCCTTAAACTCTCAAAAACAGTTAAGTAACAAAACAGCAGATTACAGGGCTTTCACAACTCTGACTCTTTTTTCTCATTTTAGTCAGAAAAGGTGGAAAGAGGTAACAAGTGTGTTCAAAAGTGAACATACCCATGTGGTACTAATAGAAGAAAGAAAGGCAGGATAATACAGATGGAGGAATTCTTAAAGAGCTGTAACTATAGCACTATTTGCATGCACAGCTCCTGAGCTTCTCTGTAAAGAGTTTCAATTATCTTACTATAAAAATAGTAGCTCTCTCCTTGAAAAGGCAATTGCCAGCATACAAAAATGCAGAGTCTACTGAAAAGCAGAAAAAGAGACTCTCTTGGAAGTCAATAAAAACAAATTTAAACATTTTCATACTTCTATTTATTTGTACATCTGCTTCCACTAAATTTCCAGTGATACCAGCCACACTGGCCTTCTGACTTGACAGTTTCTTTTCCCTCTGTCACACTCAAGGATGCACTTAGATGCAAACTAAACATGACGAAATTAGTCACATCTATTGCTGAAATAACTTTGTAACCAGTGGAATGTGAATACTCACCATTTGGATAATCACCATTTTCTTTTCTCTTCTGTGATTTTCCCAAACTCTTACTTCTTGACCATGAGAAAAACGTTCCCCTTTTTTTCTTCTCAGTGTCCTCCTCTCCTGACTCTTCATTTAAAGATCTTCCTGACTTTGATTTACCACTTAACTATCACCAAAACACAATTAAATCATTGGTTGGATCACAGTTTTAAGTTCATTATCTAAAATAAACCTTCCCACACTTCTTCCCAAAAGGAGAGTGTGATGGCCAGGTTAGCTGTCTTCCCTACTCCACTCACAAATGTATGCACCAGCATCCCTCCCAGTAGCAATCACAGAAAAAAAAAAAAAAAGAAAAGAAAAAAACAAACAAACAAAAAAAGCAACCCAGTGCAAACAAAAAGAAATACATAGATGGAAATGTGCTACTCGGTAGGGAGTACAAAACGGTAGCTGGAAACAAGTCATGGAGAGCTCCTGCAACCATGAAAGAACTCTCCACAACTCACCAGTAATGCCTAAGTTAACATGGAAAAGCCATTTGCTTGCTTTTAAAACAATGAATTTCATTTCCGTATTTCAGATATTTGTCCTAGGCTAGGCCCGAACATGAACTGCATTTAAAGACAATGACAAAATATTGCTTAACATTTCCAAGCATAATCAAAGTATTTATTAGTGCTGAATACAAAAATCAGGAACGTTTGATATTAAACTAAACTTGCTTTTAAGAAGCTACTATTCTTGTCAGATTTTTAGAGTATTCCTTAAAATGCTACTTTTAAATAGGCTCCTAGTCATAAAAATACATAACAGCAGATGGGCTAATGTGTAGTGATTGACATGAAAAATGCAAAGTTATAATTTACCCATACAGTTATGTAATTTGGTGGTATTACCTACACGAAGAAAAAATAAACTCTAAATAATGTTAGAAGATCAGTAAGACTACTGGTTTAATTTTTAAGCAACTGTATCTGTTTTACAGAGAATTATCTTAGTTCAGTTGGGGCTAAGAAATTAAAAAAAACTATCCTCTGCAGAGATGAGTTAGATTAGGTTAAGCCTTCTCCAATAACTTCTGATAAAATGTCTGCTGTTAGCAAAGGTTAAAATATCACTCCTTAATTCCAATATTCAATCAAAATGAGCTTCTGAACTGATACATTTAAATAATCCTAATTTTTTATTTGTACGCATTTATTCAAAGAATAACAAAGATTTAAAATTATATTCAGGAACTCAATAGCTAGAAATCTGATTCAAAGGAATGGATTAAAAAAAATTTCCTGAGTAGATAAAGATTTTGTAATTGTATTTGCCAGCAACACTGAACAAATATTCTACTTGTTTTTCTATATTCTCTTCGATATTTTAAAGAACTTGAAAAACATTCTTTAAGAACATAGTTTTCAGTTAACAACAATACAAAGGTAACCTTTTTTGGTGTTGAGATATTGGACTTCTCTGAACTGATACTGTGTTTTGAAGTGGGGCTGCTGGGAACACGCTGAGGATCAGGAAGAGCACGACCTTCTACTTCAGATAAGATGCATTCTTGGTAAAGTGGGGATTTGAGAAAGCGCGTATAGCTATCAAACTTCATCAAGTTAAATATCTGAAATTAAAATGCAATGGATAATGGTTACATAAGCTTAAATCACACATCAAGAGAATGAAGCTATTTCGCAACAGCCAACTCCCACAGAATTTAGGACATCAACATGTAAACAACAGTAGCCATGACTTTGTTTAGACCTGATTAAATACAAGCACCAATTTAAAGTTAAACATGATTTGATCTATTCCCTTAGCCCAGGTTCAGAAAGATGCTAAGGTCTGTGCAAAGTGCATGAGAAGATGAGCTGCTGTAGAGTCCTGACAACACCATCCTCATAGCCATCTTTTACTGCATTTATGCCTTTGTACACTCCATGTGAAGTGTGTAGCAAGTCAGTCATTTTAAATCAAGGACTCTCAGATGCACTTCTGATACAAGGTTATCAAGGAAAAATGTTAAGTACAAGTCTACGAACACCAACACACGCAAAAAACAAACTAACTGAAACATATAAAATACTTCACCTGTTCTTGAGGTTTTTAAGAAAATTAAACTTATAGCAGTCGCACTCCTCAACAAATCACAATATTTTAAGCTAGATGCAATTTGTGTCCCCAAAACACAAGACACGATTCTACAGCACAGCTAACATTAAGACCTTAAATTTAATACAGTTTCAGAATGAAAAACAAAGCTTTTCAGAGTTGCCTCCTATCAGAGAATCTACCACCAAAAGAAGATAAAATTGTTATTCCATGCTAGATAGGAAGAATAAAGGAAAATATTGCAGAGAACTGAGACACAAGGAGAGTTAATGCAGAGATGAACCCTGCAGATTAAATACATTCAATAAGCAAAAACATTCCAGCCTTTTAACTTTACTGGGCACAGTGATGACAGCTTCACTAGTTTATCTTGAGCTGATTATCATCTGTCCTACTATGTTGCTAGACCACACTACATCCCCAATTTGCTATATTTATCATTATTATCATGTTAATTTACACATGTTCATGACTTCTGCTTATTTGGAAAATTCTATCAGATGCTATTTCTTGTTCCTACAAATGAGAAAGAGCAATATAGCTTATAAAAGCACAATTTGAACTTTACACATAAACAAGGGTAGAAAAAACTTACATCTATTTGCATAACTCCGCATAAAGTAAATTACATCTTTTCTTACTTCAGTATCTTCAAGCATCCTAAACTGTCTTTCATCGGGAAACACTCAAAATGCTTGTTCTCCTTCTATTACAACAAACAGTGAAATCCTAACTAGGTATTTTGGCTGCATCCACACTGTTGTATTACAACATCTCTAACAACAGGCTCAAGTGCAAATTTGTCAGGCTACAGACAAGAAAGCAACTTCCAGCAGCATTCCCAACAGGCAGTGCTTGAGAGGTAATGGCCTCAGCAGTGCTTTCCAAGGCACTTTCACACGCACACTTCTGCAACTCCACTGCAGCCTTACAGCAACGCTCCCTACTCCGCAGCATCATATAGCACTTATTTGACGATCACCACAGATCAGCACCCTTGCCCTCTATGCTCAGTGCTGAAATCTGAAAAATCTTGTGAAAGACCACAAATGTGGTCTTCACGTTATTAAGATGGTGTCACCACCACCATGGTGTGTTGCGGTAACTACACATACCTACAGTTCTGTGTTCCCAAGGTCATGTCACCCATCAAGACCAAAACCTGACCTACTGCAGAACCTTAGTGAAACCAAGTTATTAAAGGCCATCAAGGTAGTTGATTACCCAGCGCCAACCTCAGCCAGGCAACACACCATTAGTACCTCAGCTGGCACACCTAGTTCCAAGGCTGCTCAACTTAGGCAGAAGTAACTCTCATCCTGCTGCACCTCATTTTTCAGTGGGAGGAATGGGCCCGACTAAGGGATCTGATGGGAGAACTACAAAGGCATTGATAAACTGAGAGAAGCAGGTCAGGTCCAGACACACCATATGGCTGGGATTAGACCCACAGCAGCACTTTGCATCAGCATTTTCACCCACCTTATGAGCCCTCCAACCTAAGGACACGGCCTTTCCAAAGAAGGGAGAAAAGCTGCATGAGCCCAGCCACCAGACTCATAAGAACACCATGTGCTCCATGAAACAAGTGGGAGAGGATGAAGAGGAATTCAGGCATGGGGTCCACAAAGCCAAGATGACGAATTCATTAAAAAATCTCTGGGAAGATCACGGTTGGTAATCCCCACAGAAGCCTCAGGCCTTGTTAGGTGCATGGCAGGTAGCTAGAAGCTACCAGACCAGCAGTTAGACCCACCTTTCTATCTCCACTTTGCAGATCGAGGAAGACACTGCACCCACCTGCTCTTATGCCCCAAAAGCATGCAATCTGAGATTGCACTAAGACTGTGACCTGCTTCATCTATGCAGTTAAAGCTATGCCCTTAATTTCTAAATAACATGATCTCAAAATTATTTCTACTAATAAATTATTAGGGTAGGAGTTACCAAAGAGATTATCGAGGAAAAAAAAAAAAAAAAAAAAAAAAAAAAAGAAGAAACTTAAATTCTACAGAAAATGTGAAATGTATCTTGTCATTACATAACTGTTCTGTTCTTATTTAAAATGCATCCACTTCAGAAGTCTTCAGACACCAACAGTTTTAACAAGCTCTTGTTTGACACTTCTATTAAACCACAAGGGAAGGACTCCTTCAATACAACAGACATATTTTCAAACTGCTTTAACCTAAATTAGACAGTATTTGTGTACACAATTGTCCACTAAAGAAAGAATAAGCAACCATATGCAAACACCATATGCAACGCTGTTGCACCACATGGCACTATTTACTTGCACTAAACCTTAATTTCAATAATAGTATTTTTGTGATTGTTTTTCAGTTGTCAATTTTTCACACATATGCAAATGTACAGAAAAACAGTCAAGCAGCATTCTATTATCCAGCCTCTTTCTATCCTGCTAACAGAATCTATGTGATCTTGACTCCTCTGTCTTTTTACACATAGTAAAGCATACAGTATGTAAAACTACTTTTATAGACTTTAAAGCACTTTAGAGGAAAATAGACATAAATGTACAAAAGTCATGTTTTCTATGATTACCTGAAGCTGCTGTTCCTTGAACATATCTGGATGTGGAGAATTGAGAATATCATCTGCCAGCTGCGCCTGGCTATCAATATTAACTGGCGTTGTAGCTTTGCTACACAAGAACTTACTGAAGATCTCCCGAGCTCTGTAAGAAAGCTACAGAAAGACATGCTAAATGTATGTTTGCTTTGCAAACATTTTTATACAGGTATTTTTTACACTGACACATTCCACACAAATATATACAGCCACTCCAGTCTCCTAAATATATAAGCATTTTTCATTTAATAGCTTTTGTTAGTTTTAGACATATAAATAGGGTATGTCCTTTAAAATTACAAATATTAATCAGATATTACTTAAGCAGTAAAAGTTGCCATCAAAAAAAAACAATCAAACTACAAAAATAATAAGGGTGAAGCACAACAAATGCTGTCTTACAAAGGAGAACAGATTTTTTTTTTTTTTTAGATTTTAGACCTTTTATAACAGTTACTATTTAAATAAATCCTCTGTGCTTCAATATCCAGAAGTTAAAAAAATGTAAACACATATTTGAATATTTACCGTTGAAAACATTCATGCTCTGTTTTTAACTTGTTTACTTTGAAACACACACGTTCTGGAAATAACGAAAAAAACCCACCAAACTGATCTCAAAGCCCTCAAGGAGAGCGTTCAGAAAATTCAAAGACAGAAGACAGTGGCGAAAACCTCAATGGACCACAAAAGAGCAAAGAGGGACTCGCGAGATGAAACCTTTTCCACAGTGCAAACCTGACCAGATTTGGCTGTGGTGCCAACAGAAGTCCTGCCAAGCTGCACAGAATTCAAAATTCACCAAACTGCCTGACCAACATACGACTGTCTTAAAAGGATGAGATGCAGATTCTCGTAATTTGTGAACACAAATGACCACACTTACAGCAGCAGATATATCTTAGTTATAAACAGATTATCTTGGCTAGTGGAGGCAGTCTAGCTGAAAGAGTGCAACAGAGGCTAATTTTTGCCTCCCCTTGACATGTTAAATTAACTTGCTCTGCGCTCCCTCGCACTGGGATACCACAGCTAGCCATTTTTCAACATCCTGTATACTTTAGCTCATTTTTACAGAACTACCACTGCACTTCACTGCAGTCTAAATACATCCAACAACTTAGACTTTAGACAGTACTCTCAGGGGACTGAGAAAATCAGACTGAACCTCCAACCCTATTTTAGTGAAGTCACAGTACAAAGACCAAGCACAGCTCCAATAATTTCAATAAACTTGAAGAAGTAACAATTATTAGTAAGCAATACCATGTTGTGAATTACAGCGTTGACTTACCTCTTTTTTATCATGTGCAGGTACATGGTTAAAATATTCACAGGCCTGCCAAAATAAAATATTTTCTTCACTAAATTCTTTCCGTAGAAATTCCTAAGGAAAAAACAAACAAATAAATACATGTGTCAAAGAAAATAAGTTACTTGCCATTTCAAACAGCACATTTATAATGCTTGGTAAGTTCGCATAATGGTAACATTTCGATCAGTCTCACAGTGCAGTTTTCTTCTAAAGTAAAAATCAGTGTATGTCCAATATATGCCTAGTGGTTCACCTCTTTTTCTTTTTAAATGTACATGATTGAGAAGAATCCAAGTTACAACCAAATCATTTGCATTTACAAAGATGACATTTGAAACTTCATGTTACGTAGTGTATAAACTGGTGAATACACTTTTAATAAAGATTTAAATAATTTATAACTCCATTTTAAAATTACACTGTAAACCAACTGTCTTTAATTGCAGTTCTACTAGTATAACAGAGTAGGTGTTTATCAAGCAGTGCCCATAACCAACTCTGTATTCATTACAGCATCCTTCCGCATCACATGATAATTACAAAAAACTATTATCACTGCCTGCTGATGTGGTTACATGGGTTCTCCTTGGAAAATAAATTCTGAAAGGAAAAATAAAAAAATCTCCCAATACAACACACAATAATCAGGACATTTATCTTATAGCATCCAAAAGTCCAAATGAAAAGTGGGACCCTGTTCAGCTGCGAAACTGTACAACCACAAACTGTCCCTGATCCAAGTCTGTACAATTCAATATTCTCTCAACATATGTTTCTTGAAAG